CCCTCATGGCTTGTTTCTAGTTTCTATGGGTATTTCGCAGTATCACAGTATCACAGTATGCTAGAGATTGGAAGGGACCTCAAAAGATCATCTAGTCCAATCCCCCTGCCGGAGCAGGAACACCTAGATAATGTTACACAGGAATGTGTCCAGGCAGGTTTTGAATGTCTCCAGGGAAGGAGACTCCACAACCTCCCTGGGCAGCCTGTTCATTTCATTGAATCCCCTCAACTTTCAGATTAAAGTCCTCCTGAAGAAGGGACTGTGTGAGCAATGCTTTTTGGTTTTGTATAGGAACAGTTTATTTCTATAGTTTTTTGGGTGTTTTTTTTTTTTTTAAAAAAAAGGCAAGTACTCTGTTTCTTTGGCATGGTTACTATTTTGTCCATCTGTTAGAGTGGCACAGTGCCCACTCACAATATGGTGTACCAGTTTCAACCAGGCATAGGTGCCAATGAAAGATTGGTTTCGTTTTCTGACACAACATTCTTCTGGTGGGGAGCAGCACTGTATTAGGGGAATGTGCTTTGTTAGACTCATTACTCCTGTTGGCATGTGTGTATCTCATAATAATTAGCACTTATTCAGTGCTATACATTTTCAAATCACTGTTAAAAAAAAAAAAAGGAAGGCATTGCTGGATTATGGTCTTTTGTATCTATTTTTCTAGCCTAGTTTACTGAGATTTCTGTAAACTGGGGTGGGGGAGGGAGTGCTGTGTGCACTGACTCAGGAGCAATCACAAGATAAAACGTTTCATAATTGAAATTCTTTCTCTTTGAAGTTTAATCACTGATAAATTTTCATAGTATTACAACTATATGTATGACTTTATTGACCTTTTGAGGCTGCAAAAGAAAGCAAAGACAGATTATGGTTTTCAGAAGGAGATCTAGATCACAAAATCACAGAATGTTGGAAAGGGACCAACAAGGTTGGAAGGGACCTCAAGGTCACCTGAGCTGACCTGCTCAAACAGGTCACCTAAAGCCGGTTGTACGTGACCATGTCCAGACAGCTTCTGAATATCTCCAAGGATGGAGATACCATAACCTCTCTGGGCAACTTGTGCCAGTGCTTGGTCACCCTCTGAGTAAAAAGGCTTTTCCTGATGTTCAGACAGCACCTCTTGTGCGTCAGTATCAAAGAGCCATAGAATGGTTAGGGTTAGAAAGTCTTAAGATCATCTTGTTCCACCCCCCGTGCCATGGGCAGGGACACTTTCCACTAGACCATGTTTCCCAAAGCTCTGTCCAGTTTGGCCTTGAACACTGCCAGGGATGGCGCATTCACAGCTTCCTTGGACAGCCTGTTCCAGCCTCACCACCCTGACAATAAAGAATTTCTTCCTTCTATTCAGCCTGACTCTCCCCTGTTTAAGTTTGAGCCCAGTTTATGCTTATTTTCTCTGGTCCTGTCACTGGGCCCCACTGAAAACAGCCTGGCTCTGTCCTCTTTGCACCCTCCCTTCAGGTATTTATGTACATTGATGAGATCACCCTCAGCCTTCTCCAGCCTGAACAGTCCCAGCTCACAGCCTTTTCCCACAGGGGATGTGCTCCAGTGTCTTCGTCATCTTACTGGCCCTTTGTTGGACTTACTCCAGTATGTCCATGGCTGTCATGTACTGGGGAGCCCAGAACTGGACACACTACTCCAGGTGTGGCCTCACCAGTGCTAAGCAGAGGGGAAGGAGCCTCTCCCTTGGCCTATTGGCAAGGTTTTGTCTAATGTAGCCCAGGATACCATTAGTCCTCTTTCCTGCAAGGGCACATTGCTGACTCATGTTCAATCAGTATGGTGTGCACCAGGATTCTCATGTCCTTTTCTGCCAAGGGCTTTCCAGCTGGGTGATCCCCAGCATGTATGGTGCCTGGAGTTGTTCCTCTCTAGGTGCAGGATTTTGCAATTCTCCTTGTTGAATTTGATGAGGTTACTGCTAGCCCATTTCTCCAATCTGTCGAGGTCCCTCTGGGTGGCAGCATGATCCTCTGCTCTGTCAGTCACTCCTTCCAGTTTTGTGTCACACGTAAACTTGCTGAGGCTTCACAAACCTGTATGTCTTTGGTAAACAGTTAATCATATCCTTTTATGTCTTAGAGGTTCACCTAAAAATAGTTTGTCTCACTTGGATTTTCTTCTGGCTAATTTTGACTAGTCAGCTTACTTTTTTGTTTCTTTAGCTTATCCTTTTGTAGCTCTTCTTTAAAAGTAGGCATGTTGGCATTGTTTTATTTGAAGCTTCTGGATTATCATGTGTTCTTCATGATTTCTCAGAGGTAACAGTAGAGATTACTCTGGGTTGCACAGGACCTGTTGGAGGGAATTAACCAATCGTTGTAAGTTAAAATAGATAAACTTCTCTATAAAATCTTATAGTTCACTATTGTTGCTTTTTGTTCTTGCTCCCTATCTTCTAGTGGCGTGCTTACTGTCTGGTTGCAGCTGACCTCATTGTGAAAAAAAGGAAGCAAAAAGGCACAGAACACTTCTGTTTTCTTGGCACTGTCCATTTACTTTCCCACTGACTGTTGGAATAACTCCTTCCTTGTTGCGGCTCTTCTTACAAATATATCTAAGGAATTGTGGGTTTTGTTCTTTACGTACATTACCTTTTCTCATTTTATGATGTGAGCCTTCTGAGTTTGTTTCTCTGTGTGTGCTGCTGTTACGCTTGTTCGTGATAACTTGACCCAGTTCCTTTTTTCCTATTACTCTTTAACATTTTGAATCATCAAAGCATTTGTGAATCACCAGCTGGTCTCTTACTATATATACTTCCCACTGTCTTATATGTTAAGATCATTTGTATTTGTGTACTGAAAACTGCTTCTCTGAGAAGTGCTTAGTTGCTCTGACTTACTTTCCACCAGAATTTGATTCTGGGAAGAAGAGATCTCTCAGTAGAAGAAAGCATACTTCAGTGAACTCAGTGAAGTTCATTGGGTTTGTTCACTGTTCTCCTTTTTACACTTACCAAGATTGGCTGATTGTCAATTTGTGAATACAGTCAATTACTTTGCCTTCCATCTTTGCATTCTATGTGGAGAGTTTATTTCTACATTAAACAAACAAACAAACCTACCAAGCAAACAAACAAAAAACCCACTTAATCTCAAGAACTGGCTGAACAGTCTGTTGTACTGCAGAATCTGAAGAGCTCCTTCAAGGATGTATTTAGGACGGGTTCCTTTTATTCTTAGCAGTACTCTTAGGACGAATTTTGAACCCCCTTCCCCTATGAACTCCAATCCAACCCTCATTGTTTAGTATAACTCATGTGAGGTGGAGTTTCCCCATTACTTTTTTTTTTTTTAGTTGCAGTGTTTCTTTACTTCAGTCATTATGTACTTTGTATTTCCATGTTTTGTACTGGTGGTGTTGAGATCATATGACTTCTTTCCTTTAGTGGGTTTCTTTTACCTTTATAACATCTGCACCTCTGATGTTAAGTGTGAGGATATAATTTGGAGTGGAGGGAGAAGGAACAAATGCCTGCTGGGTGTTGCAGTGATGAATCTCGAACATCTTAATACTCGCACTGTTGAAGCTTTAAGTCTTAAATAAGAAAGGAGTGCTAGAAGCAACCTCAAACCTGTTTTTCTACACATTTTTGTGAAAAGTTCTGCTCTCTGCCACAAAAAAAGTAGTTTGCCTCAAATGAGAGAGGAGACCGATGTCAGCAGATCCTTTTCACGCACGCTTGTGGTTATGGTTTGTATCTGACCAAACAACACCTGAGCTAGTATACTAGTTTCCCTTTATAATCAGTGAAGAGTCAGCTACTTCTCTGAAAGGTGGACCACTGCATTTAATTAGGTAACTTAATCCCTAAAGGTGTCCCCTTCTCTCAACCAGTGAGAAAGAAATCCTAGTATACTAGCTTAGGTGTAGGTACCTACTTCTGTCATTCACCCTTCCCATAGACCATTATTGCAGTTCTTTTTAAGTACTGAGGTCAAACCTGCATTAGCAGTAGGAAAGAACTGCTCTAGAGATCAGGGAAAGTAGGAAAGGGATCCAGTTAGTGAATGTAAAGTTCAACTTTATTTTTTCACGTGCCAAGTCAAAGATTGGTTCTTGTGATGCCCGTAGAGCCCATGTTGCTTGAACCAAGAAGCTGCCTCTGAAGGAGCAGAGCACTTCCCTCTGTTGCTTGCACCTGTGGAGTAGAGGTTGTGACAGATATGTTTTTATGTGAAGTATCCATGTACTCTGTGTGTGATAATACCTTGGCTGAAGTAGGGCTTATTGTTATATTAATCTCAGAAATGCCTGCTTGTAGTACCCAAAATTAGCTACATGGTGCAGTCTTTAAAGACTCTTTCTTTGAGCAGAAGCTGTACTCTTGATCTCTTAACCCCAGCGTTCCTCACCCTGCTGTAAAACTGCTTCCTGAATGCAAGAACTAACTGCTTCTTTGCTCAGATGCTGAAATTTTTGAGCTCCATGGCATTCCATTGCAGTGCTAATGAAATGACATGAGGTACTTGCTAAATGCAGCAGCCCTGGAGAAGCAGCTCATTGTGCCTTTGTAGATAAGACTACGGTTAAAACAGTGCATGTGTGACACTTCATGTGTAACTATGAGAAAGAATTTCTTCTTATTATGGTGCCTTGGAAGAGAGTGGCCGGTAATGATACAGCTCTTGCTTAGGATGATAAATGTGTTTAAATATTGGGAATTAACCTTTGCAGATGATGAATTGTGGAAACTATGTGAAGCTTCTGCCATTCTAATTAATCTGCCTAAAACATCTAGCAAATAGGGAGATTTCTGATGTCTCTGAGAATAGAAAATGACTGAAATAAAGGGACAAATGCCAGCCTATTGCAAGAGGTGCCCTATGCTTTTTAAGTCTATGCATCCAGATCTTGACTGACAGAAAAGACTGTGAGATTACATGCTGTATGTTTTTTAAATTCTAATTTTAATTTAGATTTCTAACTTTACCTTTAAATGTAAAAACCTAATACTGTGGCATGCTTTATTTTGACAGATAAGGAAGGACATAATTTTTCTATATTCTGGGTGTTGGTGAGTGTTATCCTAGGCGCGATAGCCATGCTGTGTAAAGAACAAGGAATTACAATACTGGTAAGAATCCTCTTATTGACTGAATTTTGACCTCAGCATCTGTCAAGTGCAGTTGTAAAGCCTATAAGGATGAACGCTTTCCACAGCTCATCGTATGCACACCTTTTTGTTCTGTTCAGAAAGCTAATTAATGTCGACAGAAAGCATTATTCTGGTAGATCTGTCTTGTGTCCCTGCCAATCTGTTGGAATTCTTCCTTTTATCTTTTGTAAGCAGGTTGCATATATCTCTTCATTGTTTTGCAAAATTTAAAAATATACAGTGTTAGTTTTAATGCATATAATGTCCATTGGTCTTGGTTTTGAATGTAATTTTTGAGATAGGCCTACAAACCTCTTGTTGAAGGTTTATGAACAATGATATAACTGAGGAGAGCATTTTTAAAAGCTCCACCCTCTTACTTTTGTGAACAATGTAACTGGAAGGATACCCATTGTTTATACATTTCTAATATTGAATCTCTTCCTAATGTCCCTTATTTAAGGATCTGCCTGTCCAAACAGATACAGTTACTGTCCATTTTCATTGTGCTCTTGGTTTTTATTACTTCAGTGAAGACGTTCTTTTTTGAGTGATCAAATAATCTACCTGAAATGCTACACCAGTGATTTTTGCATTTTGTATAGGTAGGTCTCTATAGGTAAATTCAATTTATAGCTTTAACTGGCATAACGCAACAGAATCGGAAGAATTCTTTGCAGCAAGGATCTTCTTTCTAACAAAAAAGGAAGAAATAATCACAGAAAACTTCTTGCCTTAGGACATTATTTTTTAGTAGATATTTTTAGGTTGATATATTATTCGGAGATGTCTGTAAGCAAAACATAAGGAATTATCTTAAAACGTGGTGCAATTATTTCCTTTAGTGGTATGAAGTAATTATTTGCACTAGCAGACACAGAAATGTTACTGGATCTGGGTATTTTATTTGTTTGTCTTGCATTGCTAGGATAATCATATTTATTGTTGTGCTGAGGGCACAGGTCAGAGGGTGAAAGGATGAATCACACATTAAAAAGATTGCCTGTAGGCTGAATGTATTTTTCAGCAGGATTCTTCCCTTCCTATCTCCATGCTAGTGAACCAAAACCCTTTTAACTGCCAGGTGGCCTGTCTAAAAGGAACCACACCATACTCTAACCTCTCTTCTGTCTTCTTCCTTTAACTGCTAGAAAGAGACTTGAGGCCTCCTAGTGTACTAACTCTTTGCCTCACTTAGAACTATTTTGCTGTGTTTTTATCCATTTAGTCTTTAGAAAGTTGAGATGATTTTCAAAGTTATTAGGGTATAGGCTAAATATTCAAGAATTGTCAAGGCTGGTGATCACTGAAACGCTGAAAAAACGTGGGAAAATGTTAAACTTGGATTTTATTGGTCACCTCAACAGAATTACCCCTGAATAATTTTTTTTTTTTTTTTTGCTTGCGTACGTGGGGGCAGTATCTGCAAGTGGAGTCCTGCAAAACACCAAATATGGTCTAGTTTTTAGTGTAATTTCAGGAAAAGCAATCCTGGTACCTCTGTTAAATCTTTCAGAGCCTTTTTGGTGAGAATTTATGTACCCTTTAAAAATAGTATTTCTGAAACCTGACAGTCAAGAGATACCATGCTGCACAGCAAAAAATATGTAGAAAGCTTAAAGAAACTCCACCTTACTAACAGAAGCCTTACTTTTGACTGCAGCATTTATGCTGCAGAACATTTAGGAAAGGAGAATACTGTTGTGACTGTGTGTATGGGGTCTAGCTTCCTGGTACATGGCATTCCCTGAAGTGTTATTCCATGTAACAGGAGAAACCCCATTACAGTTACATGATATTCTACTCATCTGAGCTCAGGTTTTTAATTTACCATTTTGCTATCATTACTACGAATGTATCTCTCTACTTATTTGGAATCAGAATTAAGATGCTCAACAACTCATGGTAGAAGTGAAATATAAGACGTGGTCAGCTGCTCCATCTTATGCTCTTATTTTTCTTCTTGTTGCTTAGGGCTTGAATGCAGTGTTTGATGCACTGGTGATTAACAAGCTAAATGTTTTGGAGCTTATTCAAAGGTTACTACATAAGAACAAGCCATTGGAGGTGAGTCCTTAGAGGTTTTGTTCACTCTGTCCATTCAGACAGTCATGTACTAAAAGGGAAACAACTTCTGACAGTTTTGTGGTTGCTGAGAACTTTAAAAAAGGTATTTTCAGTCAGTCTGTGCTATGACATCTTTGCAGCAACATAAGTAGTAATGGGATAGCATTAGAATTGCACTGGATAGTGAAATCCACTCCACACTTCTCTCAACAATATGTTGAAATATAGCGTGGAAGAGCTTACTGCTTGATGCAGTAAATTCACCAGGGTCAGTAGCTATACATTTGAAATGGTTGTTTAACACAGTTTGGTTAGAGTAAAGAGAGGTGTTTATTCAGATTCTCAAATGAAATAGACATTTGTAAAAGTACATAAAAATTATGTCTACTTTGTCAATCCCACTAAAGTATTAGAATCATGGAATAGTTAGGGTTGGAAAGGACCTTAAGATCATCTAGTTCCAACCCCCTGCCATGGGCAGGGACACCTAACACTAAACCATGTCACCCTATTACACTGGGTTGGTTTGTTTTTTTCAGAATACAAATTACCAAACAGGAGACAATTCCTAGTAGCTTAAAAAAAAAGTAGATATGTAAGCACTGATCAAATAAGGATAAAATGTCTGACTTTCGTTGATATCACTTTATCTAGTATTGGCTCATGGTATCTGGCACCTAGTATTTGCACTGGTAAGCAAATTGCAGAAAGAGTCAGCCCCAGGTGAATGATTGATAGCAGCCAAATAGACTAACAGCACACTAGCTGTTCAACAGCTAAATCGTTTGCTTCTCCCATCCAAGGTTCAGCAAGACAAAGGAGTATTCATTGTACTTTGCTTCAATCAGTGGTTTCACTGCAGGGAAGTCTTGCTTACATTTCTGATTAGCAGAAGTCCTATGGGGCTTTGAAATTCTTTTGTAAAGAGTAAGTGAGGAGCTTCATAGGGAAATCAGTGCAAATGTAATCTCTGGAACTGAAGCAGTAGATTTGACCAAGGACAGCTGAGGGGTCCAGGAGTATTTTGGGCAGCAAATTAAGAATGCTGGAGAATTTTTCTATATAACGAGTGATGTTAACAAGCATATGACAAGGAAAGAGTCTAGAGCTGTGGCAGATTAAAGCAGAGTCAGTTCAAAATTAAGGTGATGGAGATAAAAGGTAATAAGGATGACCCTGGGAGTAAGTGGCCAGTCAGCTTCACATCAGTGCCTAGTTAAGATCATGGAACAGATCCTTCTGGAAGTTATGTCAAAACATGTGAAAGGTGGGGTGATTAGAGAGGCAGTATGGCTTCACCAATAATCTGGTGGCCTTGTACGATGGAGTGACTGCATCAGTGTACAAGAGAAGAGCTGCTGATGTCATCTACCTGGATTTGTTTAAGGCCTCTGATATGGTCCTCCACATTTTGCTGCTAAAATTGAGAGGTACGTATTTGACTGATTGACTATTACATAGGAATTTGCTGAATGTCCAGATGCAAAGAATTACAGTCAATTGTTCAATGCCCAAGTGGAAAGAGTTCATATTTAGGCCACTACTATTTAATATCTTCATCAATGATGTAGTGGAACTGAGTACAGTACACCAAGCTGAATGGTGCAGGAATGGGTGTCATCCAGATGGACCTTGGCAAGCTTGAGCTCATGTGAACCTCATTAAGGTCTTCAAGGCCAAGTGCAAGGGTTCTGCACATGAGTTGGGCAATCCCTGGTATCAGTACAGACTGGGGTATGGATTGGGAGCAGTCCTGTGGAGAGCAACTTGGTGACTCCTGGTGGAAGAAGAATTGAATATGAGCCTGAAATGTGTTGGCACCCTAGAAAGCCAACTGTATCCTGGAATGCATAGAAAGAAATGTGACCAATAGGTCAAGGTAGGTGATTCTGATTCTCTGCTTTTGTGAGATCCCCCAGATCCATTTCTGGTGTGGGTGAAAGACATGGACCTGTTACAGCATATCCAGAGGAGGGCAATGGTCTCCTATGAAGAAAGGCTGAGAGAGTTGGAGTTGTTCAGCTTGGAGAAGAGAAGGCTCCAGAAAGACCTTATTGCAGCTCTTCAGTATACTTCAAAAAGACTTATATAAAAAATGGAGACATATTTTTTTACCAGTGCATGTAGTGATAGGATAAGGGGCAGTGGTTTTAAGCTGAAAGAGGGCAGATCTAGATTGAATGGGATAGAATTATTTTCAGTTGGAAGGGACCTACATTGTCATCTATAGTCCAACTGCCTGACCACTTCAGGGCTGACTGAAAGTTAAATCATGTTATTGAGAGCGTTGACCAAATGTCTGTTGAACACTGACATGCTTGGGTCATTGACACCTCGCTAGGAAGGCTATTCCACTGTTTGACCAGTAATAAGTTCTTTACAATGAGGGTGGTGAGACACTGGAACAGATTGCCTGGAGAAGTGTTCAAGGCCAGGTTTGACAGGGCTTTGAGCAGCCTGATCTAGTGAAAGATGTCCCTGTCAATGGCAAGAGGTTGGACTAGATGATGTTAGATCCCTTCCAACCCAATCTACTCTATGATTCTGTGAAATGTGTCAGCATCAAACATTTTGGAGGATTACTCTTTAAGCATGGAGAGCTGAAAGTGTTTTGTTTCCAGTTTGTGACTTTTAAACAGTTCTGTCTGGGTAGAGAAAACATTACATAGCCTTTTTCTTCCTCTTTCAATAGAATCAATTAATTTTACCTCCTGCCACTTACAAAAATCTGTTCTTTTTTAATAGAAATGTATCTAAGACTTTTTGTTTTGTTGAAAGGCAGATCTTAAATTCTCATACTTGCTGATTTTTTTCTTCTCTATTAAAACAGGTTTCAGTTTCATGCCAGATTTTAGTTAACTCTAAATCAAAGACAGTAAAAAAAAAAAAAAAAAAAAACACTTCTTCCACTTTTAAAATTCTGCCTACTAAGAGATTTTTGTGGCAGTTTGTGAAATCTGGCTTTTAAGAAGCTGCATGTACTGTTAAATGAAGCCTGGGATAAAAGGTTTTGTGTAGTTAATCCATCATAAGGCAGTTATAAATTGTCACTGCATGGTTTTCCTTTATACACAATTCTCTTCCAAAAACAGTTTTATAGAAAAGGTTTTCTTATAATAGTCATTGTAGTGACTTTGGTTACTGAGGTGTGTAAGTTGGAATTAACCATTTGAGCACAAAGGCTAACTTCATGTAAAATCAGCATTACAAACTTCTTTGTCCTTACGTATTCAGTTAAATATTTTATGATGACTCCATTGTCAACTACAAATATGAAAAATCCATCTGAATATTGTTTTCACCTTAACTTTTTCTGAATTAACTTTGCTGTCCGGATATCATGCTGGAGGCTTGGATTTGCATCTCAAAGCTATGACAAAGCTATCACTATAGTTACTGATTATCCTGTGTCCAGTACCTGCTGGTGAAGCTTAAAGAATCTCTACAGTATAGTGTTTTTTCTTTTCATTTATGCCTGTCACTAGCTTTTTAATCACAGTAGTGATTGTGAAAATTTTAATTAAGTTTCTAATTCCTCCCACTTTCTAACTATGTAGTTTTCTTGTGATATATATGTAATTTTACCTCCAGAGAGATTTAAGTGGACAAAAACTTTGTGTGACAGTGATAGTCAACTGGATATACCTATTCAAAGCAAAGTTAACAAAGTAGTCATAGAATCATAGAATCACAGAATCATAGAATCAACTAGATTGGAAAAGACCTTTAAGATCATCAAGTCCAACCTCTACGGCAGGCCTGCCGAGACCTCCACTAAACCATGTCACTAAGTGCCTCATCTACATCCATTTTAAAAAGAAAAGTAGACCAATTAAATATGCTATATTCTAAAGGCCATATTCTTCTCAAATTCCTTAACAGAAATTTCTGTGTAAAATTACATCAGCGTCCTGGGTTCAGCTTGGTTACTAAACTGTTCTTATCTCAACCCATGGGAGTTGCATTCTTTTTGATTCTCCTCTCTGTCACTCCGGGAGTAGGGGGAGGGCAAGAAGTGGGGGGAGTGAGTGAACGAGCTGGCTGGCTGGGTTTAAACCATGACAATCAGCTGTAGGTACTGAGGATTTGTAGAAGAGAAACTTCTTGAATAAAAAAGTTTTCTGATTGACAAGGAAATGAAAATGCTGCCAAAAATTCTTTGCAGTTCATCAATGAAAGCGTAGTAAAGTTTTAGAGCTTTCTACCTAACTGCAAAAATAATAAAAATGTCAACTCTAATAGCAAAAATGCCCAGGAATAGCGTCTTCCTTCTGAGATAGTGACCAAAAGGATGAGAATGTAATGGAGAAGATAACAAATAATGTTTTTTTATCTGAGATTTTTTTTTCTTTCTTTCTTTCCTGTAGAATGCTGGGCTGTTAAAGAAGGGGCTGCTTTTCAGGATAACTCTTCTGATGTCTGGAGGGGCCAGTATACTTTATATACGGTGGAGGATTATGGGCACAGGGCCACCGGCTTTCACTGAAGTAGACAACCCTGCTTCATTTGCTGACAGTTTATTTGTGAGAGTAAGTTATAAAGTTGTTTTTATCTGGCCAGCTCAGAACATTTGTCTTTGTCATCAAATTGAATTTTGTTTTCTGTGCTTCAAAGAAACAATGAAGAGGGCAAGTCTTCACACTTAAAGATGTGTGATGTGTCACCATCACTTGTGCTGCTGTGATGATTTTCTGCATCTTTCTTTTTTAATAGTATACCTTGTATATTCTTTAATTTAGCATGCAATGCACACATGGAAGTACATTGCCATTTACTTGCTATTTTTCCCATCCATTCAAGGATTTAGCTTTTGCTGATTTTCATCCTTTCTCTGCATACTGTGTTTGACTTTTCAACTATTCTTTCACAATTGAAGAAAATAGCATAAAGTCCTGGTCTGGTACATTTGAAGTATGTCTTGTCTGGCTGCATTAGGGTTCTTTCTGGAGATGGAGAATGATGGGTGAAGACAGTGGGTGCTTTCTCTTGATATTTTCTCCTGTTGTAGGAAATTATTCTTTTTACATGTGGATATTGGTTGGACAGCACAAAATTGCATTTGCCAGTTCTGAATAGCAGAGCCACATAGCTATGATTAAAAAAACCCCTGAAATTTAATTTCACACCTGTAAAATAAATGGATACATAACTAGTTGTAGACTAACAGTATTTAAAATCTCTTTATTGTATAAGGTATATTTTGTCATAAGGGAAATGACAGCAGCGAGAAGAAATAAAGTTGCCCCCCTGCCCCTTAAGTTTAGTATCAAGTAAATGTTTGTTTTCTTTCTGACTGACAGGCTATAAACTATAATTACTACTATTCGTTGAATGCATGGTTGCTGTTGTGTCCCTGGTGGCTGTGTTTTGATTGGTCAATGGGCTGCATACCCCTCATTAAATCTGTCAGCGACTGGAGGATAATTGCACTTGCAGCACTTTGGTTCTGCCTAATTGGTCTGATATGCCAAGCTCTGTGCTCAGAAGACAGCCATAAGAGAAGGTAAGAGACAGCAATGAATTTTAAATGCCTGGCCAATTTAAGTACAGTATTATTTTGTTAAATCCACTATTGATAATTTTAACAATTCAGCAGAACCAGTGTCTAGCAAATGCAGTTCAAATAAATATTTATAGCTGTCATTACAGTTTTAGCCCAATTTGGGGCCATCACTGTACACAGACTACTAGGAAACAGAGTTGGAGAAGGTATGCATAGCTACTCTATTTTTTTTCCTGAAATGGCATTTTGAGATCCTTAACACTGTAAGTGGTAGAAAGTAGTATGTGCTCAGAACAGAGTAGGAAATGATGTATGTTATGTTTTTGTCCCTACATCTTATGAGTCATCATCTCTTTTAATCTTCTGCTAATAGTGAAAGAGATATGTGCCTTGACAGGAGGTAGAAATGCTGGCCGTGGCCATACATTAAAAAGTGAAATGCTGATCCACAATATGTACTGAGGAAAGTACTTGTACTTTACCCAAAGGAACTAAAAAAATTATTGTAAACTGTTCTGTCTCACTAAGGGCATCTGTTTAACTTTTCACATTCTGTTCCCATGGATTTCATGTATGGTTAATTTCCCAGTTCTTTAAAATTTTTAAACAAGTCAGTCATAGAATTATAGAATGGTTTGCAATGTGTAAGGGACTTTAAAGGTCATACGTTAGACCAGGTTGCTCAAAGACCCATTCATCCTGGCCTTGAACACTTCCAGAGATGGGGCATACACAACTGTGGGCAACTTGTTCCAATGTCTCACCACCCTCATAGTAAAGAACGTCTTCCTATATCTAATTTAAATTTGCCCTCTTTCCATTTAAAGCCATTACCTCTTGTCCCATCACTACATGCTCTTGTAAGAAGTCCCTCTCCAGATTTCTTGTAGGCCCCTTTAGGTACTGGAAGGCTGCTCTAAGGTCTCCCTAGAGCCTTTTCTTCTCCTGGCTGAGCAAGCCGAACTGTCTCAGCCTATCTCCACAGGAGATGTGCTCCAGCCTGCTGATCATCTTTGTGGCCCTCCTACAAGTACTACAAATGATGTCATACTTTCTAGTAAAAATGCACTCACTGATCCTATATTGCTGAACATTTTTTAGCAAAAAGTGAAGAAAAAAATGTATAGTGAAGGCCTAAGACTCTTGGAGATGATAAGAGAGTAAAAGGACACATCTACATTACAGTTTAGAGATTTATTTGTAATAAATTAGAAAAGAAAACCATCCATGTGGCCTTTATAACAAACACCTGACACAGATCTAGGGTTCTTACTTACTCATATCATCTCTGTAAAAGTAAGGTACCTAGTCTAAGTTGTTTAAGCTCTGTATAGTCCATCAAGATTTACCTGATGAGGATTACTCATCCTAAAATAGATACCTAAGGCAAAGAAGGCAAACTGCTGTGGAAACAGCATAGATTACTAACTTTCAAGTGGTTAACCACAATGGATTCTACTGTTAATATATTTGTTAGGGAAGAAAATAATTTCTCAGTAGGATGTGTACCTAAGCTGCTTCTTTAACAGCAAGCTGTATTTTCCCCTCTTACTGGCTTACTAGTTCCAAAAATAGACAGGTAGCTTTTACCATTACTTTTCCTGCCTGTGTATTTTAAATAGGAATTATGTAATTAATGTGTAATTGGGCTGTTTTCTGGCCTGGAAGCATGAACATTGCTTTTCTAGAAATTACAGCTAGGATTTTAAAAGTGGAGTGTCAAAACCTCACAGAAATTTGTTTTGTTAGCAGCTCTCAAACGCTGTATTTGAATGCCCTCTTCCATATGCATATCCTTCTACAACATTTAAATAATATTTATATGTTAAATGGAAAATGTACTATTGTTAAGATTTGTGGTTAATTTAAGTATCTGTTTCTTGTTTGCAGAATTCTTACACTGGGACTTGGATTTCTTATTATCCCTTTTCTTCCCGCAAGTAATCTGTTCTTCCGAGTAGGATTTGTTATTGCAGAGAGAGTTATCTACCTCCCCAGTATTGGATATTGTATTCTGTTTACATACGGATTTAGTCTCTTGAGTAAGCAAGCCAAGAAAAAGGTACCATCAAAACACTCAGTAAAGTTGATGATGAAGTGCTTCAGATGGATGGTTTCTTTCTTAACTTGTCTCTCTTTCCTTAAGAAAATTCTTGCTGTGGCAGTTCTTGGAATCTTGTTGATAAATGTTATGCGCTGTGCACTCCGCAGCAATCAGTGGAGGTCAGAAGAACAGCTTTTTAGGAGTGCACTATCTGTGTGCCCTCTGAATGCAAAAGTAAGTGACTTGTGTGGACTTTTAATCTTTTCTAAGTGTTTTGAGATTTGGGATAGAGGAGGCATTGTGCATGCTTAATATATTGTGTTACTCAGAGTCTTTATTGGTGCAAGAGTATGACATTGACAGGTTGGTCATCTAAATTACAGTGGGAGCATAATCAAAATACCAGACAGTGCAAATTAGAATATTGTAATTCAGAACTTAGGGATAAGAGAGGAGAGGGGAGGGAGAAGAGGGAATACACTTCAGGAAAAGCATCCAGTTAAATTTGATATACTGTTAATAAAATCTACTAAAACAATTGTGTATGTAATTGCAAGTTATTACAAAATATCAAAAGGAAAGTAAGTTGCAGCAATGTATTCACCAGCGTAATGCCTGTGCTATATTTTTACAATCCTTTCTGTGTGCCTTCTAGTGGTATATTTAGAAAACACAGGTAAGGGACAAAGCAGCATATTGTCAGTGTAATTCAGGATGTGGGGGTAAAATATTTGCTTCCACGTCTGCTCTCTTACAGTGGCTGAATGGCATGGGCAGTAAGGAAAACTGCCGTATTCCTGCAAAGTTTAGTGAGGGAACAGGAAAGAGGGTGGGACTGCGTAGGATGTTTCACTGAGCTGAACACCAGTGTTTGGCATAGTAGACTGAATCTAGCTTGCCAACAGAGGTGACCTCCACAGCAGTCCTTTGACAGCTGAGAGTGTAATCTGTTGGAGCATACCACACAGCCCTCATGTCTGAATTTTAGCAGAGACTGTCTTTGAAGAGCCTTGAAATAGGAATGTGCAGCTTGTCAATACAAATACGTTGATGTCTTAAAGGATTAGATTTCTGCAGTCTAGAGTGGCATCTAGACAATACAGATCGAGACACAGAGTTTAAAAAGGAACTTGTGAATGCTCAACTTTTCAAAAAGAGAATGATAAACCTAGCATCTACTGGAATGCAAATATGCATCAGTGAGCTGTAAAAAACATATATGGCCAATACTTACAAGGTGGTGATGTAGTTCAACAATCTCAGATTTCAATACATAGAAAAAGAGCTGTTGTATTTTATTGTATGGCAGTGGTAGGCAACCATCTTCTTTTTAATGATGACCTCAGTACATCTTGTCTTCTGGATGACAAGTGCATACTATAAATGGAGCAAATGCAATCTGTTTCTTTGTGTGTAACTCCATCCATCTGCCATGGTAAGAGTGCTTTAGACAGATCCGTACTCTTTGCCTGTGCTCCAAGCTCCTTGGACTCAAGCCATGTTTGGCTGGGAAGCTGTGTAGCTGTGTTCACACAGTGCTGTGCTTGAGCCGATAAGCTGTATGCAAGCTATTGAACTAATGCAGTTGGTTCAAAGCCAACGAGTATACAGGGAAAATGAGCTTGTGTTTGTCAACACTGGGCTGTGTAGACACGCCTGAGCTTCAGTGCTGCTAGTGACAGCTTGCTGAAATGGAAAGCATGGTGATGTGAACAGGGAGGGGTTTGTAGGTTCGCATTCAAATTTTGCTGAAGGAGTAACTTTGAAATCACAGTAGTAGGCAGCTTTCCTAGGCAACAGCATTAGGGAATCCATGTGTGAAAACCAGTCTGTTTTTTTCTTTATGGTTTCAGCTACATTTATTCAATTTTGACAAAAGTAAATGTAAAAATTGGGTCTAGGTTTTATTGTGGTCTTCTGTTGTCATCTGGAAACTGCAGGCTTTCTTTATAAATGACGCCACAGGACCTTCTTTGACTGGCCTGTTTATTTCAGTGGGTGGCTGCTGCAGACCAAAAGATGGAACACAGATGATAGCTTTTTCTTGTTCTTAGACATCTTTAATATGTGTAATGTGGTCATGCTTTACTTCCTTTATGTAGCCAGGGTGCCAGATTCTCCAGGTGTCCCCCAACTAGCAACAAAAGCTGCAGCTCCTAGTTTGTGTTCTGTGGTACAGCTCTTCAATTCCAAATTGGCTGTCTGTGAGCAATGTGGAGTAAACTTACCTCAATTCTAAGTAACAGGTAGATACAGCAGTGCCTTCTCTAATTTAAAGACTAATCTTTTAACTTCTCTTTATATAGAGGTGTGGAAACTGCATTAAATTAGACTGTCCTTCATAGTAATGAATCTGCCCTCTTGAGTGATGGATGCATCTAGCTTGAGGATGAAATTTAACATCAACTTTGATAAATGTTGCACAATGATTTTAAAATTCAGTGGAAATAATCACATACCATAATAAAGTTACAGAAATTTTTATTTAAAAAAAAAAGTTTGCAGTACAAGATTTTAACTGTCTTAAATATTTAAGAAATATTTGAAATGTTATTTATTTTAAATATTTAAAATATTTTGTTATATTTGTTATGTATATCATATAGATTATTTTTTATTTATTTATTCTTTTTTTAAGAGAGAGAAAGAAGCATGTTACAGATCTGGACAGGTTAAACATGTCCAGGATTATGCCACAAATTTGAACTTGAATGGTCCTGCATTTAAGTTGGTTTCAAAGGTTGTTAGACTGAAACAGTATGCATTTTTAATACATTTGGACATATTTTTCTTAGCTGAATGGAAGGTCCCTGAATACTGATTCCATTTCCTTATACCACCTTTATTCATAGCTTATAGATTGACTTAATTCCTGGAGCTCAGTGGTTATATACACCAGTATGAGTTAGAACCAGGCCTGTGTTGTTTATGCTAAAGCAAATTTTGTGAACAGTTACAGAGACTGTTTTCTCCAGATACGTTGATTGTGTGTTACTGGTCAGAACAGGTATTATAAATAGGTAGTTTATAAATTTGGAATATTTCAGTACTACTGGTTTAAAAGGCTCACTGGATCCAGTTTGGCATCTTTTCATTTGATGTTTTTATGTTGCAAGCTTAGTTTATCCTGGAGTGCTTTGCTGAAGTACTGGAATATCTAATCACAGGCTATGATAAATGCTGTTTCACCATATCAGACTACTGGCTTGGATTTATCTCCTTAGCTTCAGATATCTACATCTGACGGAGTCAGCCAGGCTCCCTATATAACTGGGGAGGAGAAACTGTCCCTTTTAGCATGTGGTTCATCATTAGCTTGGACTAAATGACTGACAGATGAGAAAGACCGCATCCTAGATCAGTGTCCTTATCTCCACTGATGATAAAAGAAATCCTAGAGCAGGTATGGATACATAAGGTTATGTGAGATTTTGCCCTTGTTCTACTGCTGTTCACTGTTTCTAGGCATTGCTGTAATACTCCTCACCTTCTGAGGTGAGGTCATTAAACACTGTTTCTTGTAATTTTAAAGATTATTCCCAAAAATGCGATCTTACTGCTTTTTTTGCTGTTGGAATTGTTTGCACTTTTGGAAGTGCCAAGTTACTTTTTCTCAGCTTTTAGCAAAGCCACATCAGTTTTTAAGAATCCACAAATGGTCTTTATTTCTGGATGACTTCCTCTGATTATCTAAATAAATTGCAATTGCATTGTTAAATACATTGGGAAATAGCCACCATTTTTCTTTTCCTGGATTTGGAATAAGTGAATTTAAATGATTTTGAATTGTTAATATTCTGTATGCAATCTCTGCATTCTCCTAGCTACTGGTTTTTCCTTAAAGAATAGAAATTCAGAAATGTAATTTTTAAAAAGCCATTTCACTAGTAACTTTTCTACAATAATAAGCAAGGAAGTTATGATATTCCCAGCAGAATGTGTTACTAACCAGTCTGTCTTGACATACTAAGGGTAGTAGCTTTGTACTTGATGCTTTATGCAGATTGTAATTATTACAGATATGAGTTTGTCAAAGACAAGTTACGCTAATCTGAAAACGTACTGCAGAGTTTGAGATTACTTTCTATACTTTCTTAAAAGGGCTTGTAAAACCTCTTTATGACAGAACATTTAGTGCTGCTTAAGGATTCATGAAGCTGATCTAGACTGTATTTCCTTTAGATGCTGAGAATTTCTTTCTATGCTATGTATTAAATATCGTCTGCAGAATTTGCTTTAAGTGCTGTGGGCTATGTTTATAGCTGCTCTCTGCAGTGTTTTGCCACACAGATACCATTTTAGATGTTAATTTTTTTTATACAAGCACAGTCATACATACGAAATTTTAGACAACATTAACCGCACAAAAGATGAAGTTCAGAAAGGCTTTATTATTATTTAGAAAACAGAATTGCAGTAGCAGAGGAAAGAGTATTTGATGGAAAAAGCCAGCATTGCACAGAAGCGTCTGCATGTTTCTGTACAAATTTTGACATCTGTGCTTTGCTTCCATCCTTCTCAACAAATGTTCATATTTGCTGAAAAAGTGATTATAAGCAGCTAGGAAGAGAGAAGAGTTGATAATAGTAGTACTCCAACTGAGGGGGTGTACCTCCTGGAAGATGATATTGCGTTTCAATTTCTTCCTACACTGTTTGAGTAAAAAAAAAAAATCAAAAAAATCTGTTTGACAGCAAATTTGGTTTTGTACAGAAAAATATAATTTTTCTCCCTCATTTAAATGTGTGTGCACATTTAAACTCTTAAATAAGAGTTCAAGCACTGTGTGTCTAACATAGCATAATACAGTTTTTTATACTAGGTTCTTAGGCCAACTGAGGTATTGCAAACAGACAGTCAGTTCTTTGGCTAGGCTATGGTGCCATGGTTATGTTAACTTTAAAAAAACACATGCCTGTTGAGATCAACTAGGTTCTACCTTATGGTTTTTTTACTTAATTGCCCTGAGAGAATACTGTGTTGTTTATGCATCCTAAGAAATGCTCTTTTTAGTGCAACTATTGTGTAATTACCTGTTTAAGATTGATAAAGGAGCATGTGGGCATAATGTTATAGGTCATTTCCTGTTTAATCATTTAATACCAAAATGTTATGTCTGCTCTTAAGTGTTTAATCAGGAAAGGAAAATCCTCCTTCCCAGGCTGGCAGGCACAGTATCTGTCAAAGGCAGAACCACCACATCTCTAGAGGTAAAATGTAAAGCATCACACTGGCCCCTCATTTTTTAAAGCCCGGGTTCTTCCTGCACATTGGTATATAGGAAGTGCCTGTGTCCTCGTGTTGTGCAGGCAGGGGTCATAGTAGAAGTCAGGGAGCGTTACAGCCTCATGCTTAGCAGAGGGCAGATAGTTATTGTAGGCCTAGTTTGGGGGAGCAGAGCTAAATGCTGATCTTGGCATCTCCCTGTCATGGCCAGTGAAGTGAGCAGCATGACTGTATGGCAAAAGTCACTTGCACCTCTCAAATGACTGTGTGTGCCTGAACACCCTTTGCTGACTGTTCTTAAGAGCAGGATGTTACTGCATGTTATAATACATTGTAAAGCTGTTTCTGTCACTGTATGTTTATGGCAGGCTGAGGAGTTCTTTTGGTATGTTTTAGTTTTTCTTCCCTTCTTTGTCACCACCACATTCTAGAGCTACAGTTTCACCTGAAGGAAAATCAGGAAAACCACATGTAACAAGGGCCTCTTCATTTTCAGCTATTGTATAGAAACATTGTTTTCTTTCACACAGAAGCTATATCTAAGGACAGAAGAAATACACCATTAAAAATGCTAATAGTTCATTTAAATAGTTTTGCTTTCAGTTTTAATATAGTATGTTCAGTTTATAAAATATACATGCACACTTAGTATTTCATTTGATGTTTTGACTTGAGAGAATTGATATCTCTCAGGCTTCTGCAATCTACATAACTGTGTACATGAGACATATATTCTTGCTGCTGCTGCTGCTTTTGAGATAGAAATTGATATGAAGAAGTTACATGTTTTTAAAAAAAAATGAGTAAAGAGAATCGGAAAGTAAAATGGTGACTGTTTCCTGACACAAGACAATTGGCACGTGAAAGACTGAGTGGTTGATGTATACCAAGGTTTTTCACATATGCTCTGTCCCCAGTCTTTAATAAAATTTCTTTTTTTCAGTAATGCTTATGACTTTTGTTAAAAAATAAGCAAAAAGCTTCTTAAAGGTTAAATATAAACTTGTTTGCTGATATGGAAGGTTGAAGTTGGGTATTTTAGGAGCTAATACATATTATTGAGTGAAATAATTCCTTCTGTTTTGCCACAGTTTATCTCAAAACACAGCAAGGTTTTGAATTTGCTCTGAATAAATTCTGAGTCTGTAAACTTTAGCATATATAATGAGAGCAATCCAGTGTGATAAGAATGATATCATAGTGTACTGAAAAATTTCTGGAAAAGTTATACAAATAGAATTCAGTCCTAAGAAACATCTTTTAAGGTATATCATGTTACTTTAATGACTCCTGGGAAAACAATGCTATTCTTTTTTTTTCTTGACACCATGTCCTGGGTTCAGCAGTAGCAGTCATTTTTCTCCTCCTTGGTAGCTGGTGCAGTGCTGTGTTTTGACTTTCAGCTCAGGAACAGAGCTGATAACAATGATGTTTTGGTTTGGCCAAGGACTTTGTGAGCCTCATGCTCTGCCAGGGAGGAGGGGAAGCCGGGAGGAAGCAGAGACAGGACACCTGACCCAAGCTAGCCAAAGAGGTATTCCATACCACAGCACGTCATGCCCAGGAGGTAACTGAGAGTTACCCGGAAGGGCTGGGACTGCAGGGTTGGAGGATGTATTGGTCAGTGCTTGGTCGGGCTGGGGGGGGGGGGTGGGGGGGTGGGTCGAGTTATCGGTCTGCTGGTGCTGAGGTGTTGTATTCTCTTCCCTTGTTATTTCCTTTATCATTATTATCATTGGTGGTAGCAGTAGTGATTTGTGTTATACCTTAGTTACTAAACTGTTCTTATCTCAACCCATGAGAGTTGCATTCTTTTCGATTCTCCTCTCCGTCCCTCTGGGAGTAGGGGGAGGGAAAGAAGGGGGGGAAGTGAGTGAATGAGTTGCCTGACTGGGTTTAAACCCCGACACACCATCAACTGATCTTTAGGAATACCTATGTCTTGATATAAAAGTAACATTCTGTTGCTGCTTTGCCATGGGCCTTGTCATATTTTTATGAATGTTAAATAGAAGTGCCTGGATATTTTATTTTGTTTCCTGGGAGCCATGCTAGAACTACTTTTATAGGATGCTGAATTTGTGTCCGATTTTATATCTAGCAGCCTGAGGAGCTGCTTCTGTGTATGCTTAGTAAGCTTTATAGCATCCTCGCTGTCTGTAGAACCAGTGAAACTATTTTTTCACTGATTTTGGAAAGCATGGAAAATGTTCTTAACTTTATTTGTTGATAACTACTGCATAGTCACAGTCATATAGAGATGGAATTCAACAATTAAATAACAACTGGTTTCAAATATAATTGTGTGTATTACATCAATAGATCCCAGGTATTGTGCCAAACACAATTAGGATTTTTCCTCTGATGGACACATCAGGTAGAATCCTTTTTTGAATGCAGGTGAATTAGAGTTTTCTAAATGCATTACAGACTTATCTTTTTGTCTGTCAATCTCAAGTAATTCCTGCATAGTGTCTTTGAAAAGATTTAAATTAGATTTTCAAAGTATGGAAGAAATTACAACAAGTGTTTGTTTCAGATGAAGTAGATACAAATTGATTTTAAATAGTAAAGTGATTTAAGTAATGAGTTCTGATCCAGTTGCCAAAAAGCCGGTTTTCAAGAGTCAGAATCCACTGTACTGTTAAATATGATGATAGTTTAATTCAGTTTCCTTGATCTGTAGTTCAGGGTGATTTAAGTACTCACAGTACTTAGCTGTCATTTCTAAACTTGAGACTTCCCTTTGATCGAGTAATGTAGTCTTCTGAGATCTGCCTTAAAGTAGGATTCAGGATGCTTTCCAACTGAGATTTGTCCTGAAATATGTTTTTTCCTATCTAGTCTGTGCCATAAGTTCAGATGATATGTTTTCTTCCCTGTAGGTATATCTCAAAGCTTTAAATCCTTTCTTCATTCCCTGCTTTTTAACAGGCAAGGTCTCAAACATGTTGCTATATACATTTATTTCAGAAACGCTTTTTGATGCATTTTTATCCCAAGACAACGGTGTGCATGTTTGTTATTTTTCCTTTGTTTTTGAATTATGTAGCTTAGTTTTTTTGTTAGTGTTGAGCTTCTTCTAGTTAATGCTATAGCAAAAGCAAAGTTCAGTCAACATTTACATTGCTGTAGTGTTTATTCTGCTATGGTAGATTTGAGTCTGGCTTTCTCTTACGTATCTGACAAATAAAGAAATTAAGAGCAGGAAGTCTCCATATAAAGAGTCTTATGGAAAGTATGGTAACCTCATTTATAAAATCAGGAAGTGAATAGTCTTTACCTGGAACAGAGAAGTTGATTTATTAATTTATTCTTCAGATTTTTGTCTTGCTGTCTTCATCATATGTATTGTCCGGTCTTAAGTATCTGACTACAGCAGAAAACAGCAGTGAATGATGGAGGTGCTGACTGTTTTTATTTGGAGTGAAAATTTTTAGCAATTTGGCTTCACAAAATATCTGACTATGTAACATCTGGTACAACATTCATCTGTGTTTTCAGGTGCACTACAATGTTGGCAAAAACCTGGCTGACAAAGGAAATCAAAGTGCTGCAATCAAATACTACAGAGAAGCTGTAAGGTATTAGGAATTTTACTGCTTTAATGATCGATCCTAAAATTTCTTTCATGTTCAACATGAAGAAAATGCTTAGGTATTCATTTTCATGATCTGCAGCATTGCAGAGCTATCAATTTGCATATAGTAATACATGTTCCATACGTAATAATCATCTCTTAAATTTTAAATTTTAGGTTGAATCCTAAATATGTACATGCCATGAACAACCTTGGAAATATTCTGAAAGAAAGAAATGAGCTCCAAGAAGCAGAGGAGTTGCTGTCCTTAGCTGTACAAATACAGTATGTTTAGAACAGTGCTAAGCAGCATTTTTCATCGAGCAGAAATGATACAATCAATAGGATCTTGTGTTCTAAATGCTCAACTGTTCTCTCTCTTCTTTTTTTCCCCATTTGCCCAGACCTGATTTTGCTGCTGCATGGATGAATCTAGGAATAGTACAGAACAGTTTAAGAAGGTTTGAAGAGGCAGAGCAAAGCTACTGGACAGCAATTAAACACAGGAAAAAATATCCAGATTGTTACTACAATTTAGGGCGGTTGGTAAGTGCTTTTGAATAAATTACATCTATGATAGGAATCCGTGTGTGTGTGCATATAACAAAAAAAAAAATCTACTGTGCTATTAAATATGATGATAGTTTAATTCGGTTTCCTTGATTTGTAGTTCAGAGTGATTTAGTATTTTTGGTAGTTTTTCCTATTGCTTTCCCAGCACACTTCCTTCCATAACAACCTTCTGTAGTCCTAATTTTTTCATACAGAGAGGTATAATCAAAAATATAAATTGTGGTCTTTTGTTCAAACGATATTATTAGTCATTTCCCAATGTTAGACTCTTTTCAGTCATACTTGTATTGTTAGGTAGTAGAACTATGCCCTAAAAAAAATCATTTAGATTCTTGGAAATGATAAGTAAATATTTACTTATTCTCTTGTGTAGATTTCCAGATTCTATGCTGGTTTTCTTCCCTATCTTATTGGTACATGCATATGTGAAAACAAGCCTGGGTGCCAGAGAAAAGCAGGTTAAAATTAGTATATAGCACTCTCTTTTCCATAGTACCATAGTATTCTATTTACATTTCACATTCTTGTCTCTAAAAAGTTCTATTAGAATGGAATAGCTCTTTAGAACAGCTCTTTACTGTCTTTTGTGCATGGTAGGAAAGTAAAACAAATCAGAGTGAAATGACTGGGTTTTTCTTTGGTTTTAGTACGCAGATTTGAATCGCCATATAGATGCATTGAATGCATGGAGGAATGCTACAGTTCTGAAACCAGAGCATAGTTTGGCTTGGAACAATATGATTATATTGCTTGATAACACAGGTATAAGCATATTTGAATGTTCTAATGAATAATTCAGTGTCTAGCAAAACTTGAAGCTTTTTCTGTATTTATCTAAATGGAGGTATGCCTCTTGTTTTCTGTCCAGCCGCTCTATAAATGGTTTTAAAGCATCATTTGGAATCCAGCCCATAAATTGAATTTCTGATCCTTATTTGAAATGCCATCATTGTGGAGGCATGTTTATATTGTAGACCAAACTTAACTTTTGAATCTGTGCTTTGTTGTTCTGAAGGTGTTACCTGTTGAAAACAAAATGGGGTGTTTCTATTGTCTTATTCTGTGTAATTTTACATTTGCATGTGTATGATACCTGGTTTTCTTTAAAAATGCATGTACTCATTTTGTACAATATGCATGCTTGCAGCATGAAAAGTAACTAGTAAGGCTGTGTTAAAATATGCTTTTGTTTTTTTTCCACTGAATGGGCTTCCAGGCAATCTAGCTCAAGCAGAAGCAGTTGGAAGAGAGGCCCTGGAATTAATACCTAATGATCATTCCCTTATGTTTTCATTGGCAAATGTACTGGGGAAATCACAAAAATATAAGGTAGGTAATGAGCTTTCTGAATGTTCAGTTTTAGGTTTGGGGTTTGGTTGGATTTTTTTTCCTGTTTAAACTCTTTAAGCTTTTTGTAGAAACTGTTTGAGGAGGTCATTGTCAAGTGTGACTTAGATAATCAGGTTTAAATGCCCATTTCTGTCACAGTATTGCTGTGTGATTCTGGCCTGAGTTCATCCCATCTTATTTTAGGTGCCTGGGTTATGAATGTTGCTACCCGAAACTACTGTCAGTGGTCATTGAAGAGAAACAGGCATTTAGGCACACTAGAGGGCACTTAGGGTCTTGCATTGCTTCACTGCCAAGAGAGAGAGCCTGCTCTGATTTAGAGGCCTTGTTTCAGGAGCTAAAATTAGATGTGATATGCTAGTCCTTGTGCTTTTGGCATGTAAAGGAAGCAAGGTTTACCATTACCCCATATGAATTCTAGCCTTTTGCTCAGACACGATCTAAAACAGAGATACACAGACTTGCTAATTGCAGACTGAGGATGGGATACCTGGGTAATTCCAGAATATTAAGAGGAAAAAGTCCATGCATTGAGCACTGTATTGAACTTTCTCTTGGATGCAGTGGACCAGCCTGTGAGTGGTGTACCTCAGCATTAGCTACTTCTATTTACAAGTAGTAAAGGTTATCGAATTGATAAGAATGAGTTATTTTCCAAAAGGAATTGTATGAGCTGGCAGAATAAATCATACACAGTTAATATATTTAGTTGTTTTAATTTACTCCATAGTCACTGATTTATGTATGTGATACGGACAAATTAATAATCAAGGAAGTTTTTTGTATTCGTCAGAAAACTGTCATTTACTGAATAATGGCTTTTGGGGGTTTTGGTGGCCTTTTGATAGCAGCAATGTTAGCAGCACTGAAGGAATATCCTCAATATATGCAAATTAAGGAGACTTCATGATGTGAAACTTCTTAGAATAGATGCATTTTTCCTCCAGTTATTGTGTTCACTTGGATTTTTACAGTCCTGTTCAGCTGTGGAGTCATGACATATCCATATGAGAAGCGAGGGCCTGTGACAACCCAACACTTGCCTTAGTTTGTGATAAATTGCTGTTAAGACACCCCATCACTGTTTGCAGACTGGCTGGGTTTTTTTCTGTACACTCTGTTTCTTTTCTCTCTCCATCTGAGACTGTTATAAAATATATATTTTAGGTTAGTTTAACAAAGTTCCAAAGTGATACAAATTAACGGCCAGGATGTATAAGGGATGAGATTATGGAGGAGGTAATTGCTGAGATTATTTTGGTTAGTCGTGACTGTGAAAGAATGGAGTATTGTATAGTTATTCATCAAGAAGAGCATGCAGCATGACAGAATAAAGAGCATTCATAATGATATAAGTAGAAAAGTTAAGTTGAAAACAAGCTAGAAAACTTTTCCAGGTGTAGGAGAAATAATTCTGGTTTAGTGGATTTAAAAAATTAAAAGAAGAGGTAGTGCTTTTGATTGCTAGGTCTGAAAGGTCATTATGCTGCAGGGGAGTGTGTTGGAGACAAAGTAGAAATGACAGTAGGGGAAATGAAGCTTCCAGGTCAGCATCCTAAATAAAGTAAAAGTAGCAGTGGAGCCCAGCAAAGAAAGCAGGGAGCCAGAGAGTGTTCTAGTAGTTCAATATGGAGTAGTAGGTTTGCGCAGAGCAAAAACCTTAACTAGTCACTTAAAGTAGATGAATTGTAACAGAGAGCAAATTAAGGGGATTGAGAAGTAGACTCACTTAGAAAAGGTTATGATCTCAGCAGCTGTATTTTGCATCACCTTGAAAGAGCAGCCACGGCGGGGGGGAGGGGGCTAAATGGGAGAATGCTAAATGAAAATTAAAATGCATAGAAAATTCAGGCTTCTTGTCCACCCCCTCACCATGTAAAAACAGAGAAGTAGATGACTCGCTAATAAGAGTGTTTTGAGTGTTTGGAATGGGAGGGCAGTAGGAGGGAATGGAGACTATCGAGGTGATAGAGGTAATTTTCAGAAGGCTACCTGGCTATGTCTGATGTGTTGTATAACCTCAGGCATTTCATTTACTGGATTACTTATTATGTGTGTATATAAAAGTTGTATTGGCTCTGTTGCCATAAAGTAAGATCTGTACTGTGCTTTTTGTTATCTCTTATTTTAAAAGACATTGAGTTGAAAAGTTTATACTATGTTATGAGAGATCTCTTTCCACTCACCACAGAATATTCTCCTTCAGTTTCAAATATACTTTGATTTTCAGCTGAAGATCGTTTTCCTGAAGAAAAAAAAAAAAAAATGCAACCCCTTATGATTTCTGTTTGTATCTACTCATGAATTACTTATTGCTCCAGAAACAAAAGCACATAAAGAATGAGCTGTTTCGGTGGTTTTGTTTTGGTTTTTTTAATTAATATCTGTTATACAAAGTTAGAGATCTCCTTTAAATGCTTGTTCTTGTCACAATGGATGAAGAGCCAAGCTATCTTTAGTTCTTTGAAAATATGGATGCTGTACTTTTGTAATGCTTTTTCTGTGAAAAATACAATAAATTGAAACCATTCAGCTTTTTTTTTCTGTATTTGAAATAAAGCCAGACTACAATTTTGTGCTGTGGCCTTGACAGCAGATGGAATGCAGTGTGCTTACCCAAAGCCTTTGCTATGCACAGTGTGCAAGTTTCTTGGCAACACTTAAAGATTTGGCAAGATACAGCAATTTGAAATATCACCAATGTACTGGAATGTGTATTTACTCCATATAGCTACAGTAATATGAATATGATGCACCTTAAATAGCCTTTAATCAGCCAGTATGCTTCTACTAGCTGCTGGGCAAAGTAGTGGTGATAAAAACGTTTTCAGCATGTAGCTGAAAATGTGTGGTAATGGCAGCCAGCACTGAGAATCCATTCCATGAAATTTTCTGGGAGCACATTGAACTTGTTGTCCCGTTATGCCTCAGCAGTGAGAGGATGAGACCATACATTAGGTGCTTCTCCTTTGTGTAGGTGGCAACTTTTAGGCATAAGAGTGAATTAATTGGACAGCACATCTTTCACTTTGATTGCTGTTAACCTGCCCAGTGAAGAAAACAGAGATTTATTTATTAGACCAAAATAATAAATTTTGTTGGAGGAAAAAAATACAACTTATTACTGTATGCTTTCAAGTGCCTGTTGATTTTTTAGGCTTCGATGGTCATACGAAAAGAGGATATCTTGCAACACAACTAGACTTGCCAAGTGTGACAGAGTTAAAATCATAGAATCATTTTTACAGAAAAGGGTAGTCAGAGTCATCTAATCCAATCACCAGGGCAATTTCCAGTTGAATTTTGAGCATCTCTATGGAAGGTGACTCTGAAACTTCTGCAGACAGCATCATCCACTGCTTGATAACCCTTTGGTTTAAAAAAGTTTCCAGACATTTGGTTCCCTTGGTCAGTACTATCCAAGTACTCCTTCTCCTGAAATAGGATGTCGTGCAAAAGGATTTGTCAAGAACCCTAGGGTTTGTAATTTCCTTGACCTGTGAAGATGAAGGCATTTTATGCATCAGCTTTCTTGGCTTAAGAGTCGCAGCCTTATTTCTGTGCTCAGCAGTTCCCTGAAAGGAGCCCAGTTCGGGTTTGAATTTGGATATACTGGGAAGCCCTTAAGTCGCTCAAAAGTTGAGTGACTCAATTTTGACACATCAGATATTTCTTGCCTCTGAGGGACTTTTGCAGAGACTCATTTCATGCTTCACATGAGAACATGGTGGAACCAAAAATCTGGCTGACAGGTTTTCTTTTTCAATAGAGCCTGTCTAGTTTTGTAGATTTCAGTAATAAAAGCTTAGCACAAAGGAAAACAGTTTTCCCCAGTTATTGTTCTCACATACCTCAGACAGCAAGTATGTGCATTCAGACAGAAGCCTACCACACTGAGGTAATTTCATCTTCAGTTCAATTGCATTGAAACTGAATGGGCAACTTTCCCTAGAACACAGCACAGAATAGAAACCTATGTAAAAATTGCTCCCCAAAATATATAAGCTTGCATGCAAGTGAGTACATATACTCCATTTGGATCGGGGGAGAAGTATCTTTTTAAACTTCTGCAAGGAAATATGCTCTGGAACAGAAGTATCTACATTAGCAGCTGCTTTGGGAAAATAAAAATATTTGAATTTGAGAATAAATTTACTGATAAATTGTTCTCTGAATATTTGGTGAGGGAGTTCAGGTTCCCTAAGAACAAATTGGGTATCAGCAGTCCTAAGAGTACGCCACTGCACCTGGGAATCTGGAAAAGGTAACTTGTGAGGAATGTTTCAGTTGGCTTGATCTTTTTAAGGAGCAGGCACTCGGCTACTCTTCACTGAGAACCACACTGAAACAGGTCAGGTCTTGAGCAACCATGGCAGGGGAGTTGCAAGTAGATGATCTTATAGTCCTTTTCAACAATCTGTTTGAAAGGGGTTTACTGGAATGCCCCTATTTTAAATGGAAAGGCACCTGAAAGCAGTTTGGTCAGGTAGTGAATTATATTATCCTTAATTTGTTTGAATAAGTAGGGAAAGTTTCAGTAGGTGAAAATACTGAAACTGTGCGTAGAGGAAAAAAAAGCAAACTGCTTTGCAAACTTCACTAGTGCTTAATAGCTGTCTGCTAAAGTAACAGCAGCCTGTGAAAGCATGGCACCTATTTGTAGCTTTATTACTGTTTTCTGGAGGCTGTAGCCACCTGACAGTATCACATGGGCTTAGAATATATATGTACTGTGGTATCACATAAATTTGGCATTTTGGGGAGGGTTTTTAATTACAATCATGGGTCAATTTTGTAATATTTTATATACTGAAGGAGTAGACTGTCCTGTTGACTTGTTCTTCTAAATTATTCAGGAATCTGAAGCTTTGTTCCTGAAGGCAATTAAAGCCAATCCAAATGCTGCCAGTTATCATGGTAATTTGGGTAAGAGCCTTTCTAACTCTTATCAGCTGTATTGTTTGTTTGCTTCATGTTCATTATGTTTTAAAAGAAAAAGCATTCTTTTAAGCCTTCTTCCTGCTGGGCAGATTTCTATTTCACTTTCTAGAAAAACTGCCAGCCAGAAGAACAGGGCACTAAACCAGAAAAGCTGTCACATGATATGACAGATCAAGAGGGCTGCACAATCCAGCCCAGAGGTAGCTGCACTTCAGTGTCTGCAAATTGGTTCATTTATGCTGTGCTTGTAACCCGCAATGAGCTCACCAGATAAGAGCTGCCATTTATGGCTGCAATGTAATTCATTCCTTCATCATTCCCATGCCAGTTCTGCTCCCAGGCTTTGCTCCTGTGGTTGGCAACAGAACAAGCAGCTACTGTGCCACCAGCCAGCGAGAGACCCTCACTGGAAAACAAATGCTTTAATGTTGTTTTCCAAGTGATTGGCAAGATTGCACATTATTCAACAATATTGCTAATGAAATTCCTCATTGATGTTCCAGCTGTGCTTTATCATCGCTGGGGAAATCTTGACTTGGCAAAGAAGCACTACGAAGTCTCTCTGAAGCTTGATCCTATGGCACCCGGGACCAAGGAAAACTACAACCTCCTAAGAAGAAAACTGGAGCAATTGCAAAAGAAAGGCGGTGCCTGATCTCTCCATTCAGGTTGTCCATGCATGCTGTACACGAGTCATGTTACATGGGTATTTTTGACCATGTAAAGGATTCGGTTGTTATTTCTCAAAAATAATAACACCACCAGCACTGCACACTTGAATGTCCAGTTATGCCCTCCTAAAGATCCTAAAATTTCAGCATGAGGGTTTATTTTATTTTTACTCTTGAACTGCTTTTAAATTCCCTTAGAACAGTTTTATAGGTATATGAAAGCAACGGAGACGGAATTTCACAGCTTTCACTTATAATTTGGAATCTTATCTGACTATTCTGTGATTCTTTGACTTTTTTGTAGCAGGATGAATACCAGAAGGCAGTTTTATTTTTGAAAGTGATTCTTAAAAAGTGCAATTTCCTGTTTAAATACTTATCAAGTGTGAAGAATATCCATCCACTTCAGTTCTATTACTGCCTTCTACTGGCAGTCCTGCAGAGCCAGTGGAAGAATGGATTCTGTTCCAGCGCATCAGTCTACACATGTAATTTGCGTTATCCCCTTGGTCTTGTGCCTGGCCTCCACCCTGTGAAGTGTCGGATTTGTAGAGGAGTAAATGAGGACAAGGATTTGAGCATAAATGTTTGTCAGACAGTACACTGCTAAGGTATGCTTGAGTGAAGAAAATACTCTTAGATTAAGATGGCAGATGTTAGCAAGCAGCAAAGGGAAAAGAAGTGTGAGTCAGTAGAGAAGTCAGCTAGAGTTTGTGTCCTTGCAGACAGCCTCACCTAGCATAGACAGCTTGGGTAACGAGTCAGAATTGCTTTAGCTCCTGCTGCAGGTCAGTGGTCTAAATATAGTATAGCATCTACAGGAGCTAATTCCTGTGTTCTCAGGCATTTCAGTGCTTTCTGGTTAAGGATACTATACCTTTCAATTCCTATATTGTTGGTGAATTAGGAGAGAGTTTCTGTGAAAAAGTAACTGAGCAGACGACCTGACTTTGGCTGTTGATGTTTTAACTGGAAGGAACTGAGCTTCACCTTAGTCTCCTGTGGCTCATGTGTCCGCTGAAGTGTCAAATAAGCATAAACTGATCACATTGATGCGGGATGATTCAGAGATGGGGTACATTGATGCAATGTTGCTTCTCTAAATGGGCTATGCTTTAATACATGTTTAAACTGGCTGTCCAGAGTTGTTTGTCTTGTGCTAATATTTACATTCATGCTTCAGATAGTCACATGTCTATTTGTTGTTTCCCTGGCATGGAAGATTGCTACTGGATATGAAAACTGAGGAATTTTACCTTTCTTTTCATATTCCTTTATTGTTTCCGACACTGTCCCCCAGGACATCTGTCCAATGATTATTGTATAGGAGGTTGTGAAATGTTCTTCATACACAACGTACTTATCTATGTGAGGAACCATTTAAAGTGTTGGGGGAATGCTTGGCCTAAGACAGGATGTTGCATGACCCTGCCATGGGACCGCCTTGTAACCATTTTACATCTATACTATGTTTTGAACCTACTGTAGGCTACTTTTTTATTATAAATCTGCTTGGAAGTTACAGTTGTTTCAAGAACCAAGTGTGTCTGCAGAGCACACTGCAGTACTGCAGAGCTACCAAAGCATCCTCTGACAAAACTAGTTTGGGTAACACAGGTAGTGCAGCTAATGTAATATTCTTGCCAGACTGACTCTAAATCTAGCCAGCAAGGCTGTGGCAGTGTGGTGCTGTCCGTAAGTTTGGGTTTGAATGAATTAATATGCCCACGTTATCTAGCATGTTGTCATACTGATTTTAGTTGAGGTACCAGGGACATGTATTTGTGCTAGGGCAGTGCTCCTCTTCTGCAAATACAGCCTGTTTCTCAGCAGGGCTTATTAGTTTATATAGGGTACTAAGTTGATGCAGTTGTTCCATTTCTTCTGGTTTCTGGACAGATTTTTCAGAAGCTAGTTTCTGAATGTACTTGCAGGATATAAACGTGCTCTTTGATAAGTGTACTGATCCAGCAGAATGTTGCACCGCTATGAGTAGTCATCTTCCAAAAACCAGCATAGTTTAGGCAGTACCAACTTCTGTATCTGAAACATGCTGAAATAGGTACAGCCTTCAGTACAAACGGCAGACTTCTAAGACTTGCCATACGTAGCCTCTTATTCATCAGACACAGAGAACACTTGGCTACTTCAATCAAAGAAGTATTAAAGAGTTGGGATCTGGCTGGATGAGCTAATTCATAGCAGAAGATAAGTGTGTTTAATCATGTCTTTTCTGTATATTTGGAATATGACATACTGAGTTTAAATTATTATTCTCATCATAAGGTTCACTGTACAGTTTTCCGTGTTGCTTGCCATATTAGCTTTACAGAAATACAGTAGATCAATATTACGTATGGGGTATGAATTCTCTCTAGATCATTGTAAACCAAAGTTGTTTTAGGAATTCCTCTGTGGAGGTCTGTCAGTCATTCTACTCAAGAATCTCAGAAGAGACATGCCAACAAATTGATGGTTTTGTTGGCATTTAGAAGTGGTGTTTACTCTTCAATACAGATGTGAGTTCTTCTTGATTAGTTTTCTGACTACCTGTTTGTATTTTTGTGAGGGTTTATTTGTTTTGTATCATTTTCAGTGTTATATAAATTCAGTGTGATTACTTGTGTGACAGTAATAAGGATACAGTTCTGTTTCAGTGTGATGTTAAGGCAGAATTGGGTTCAAAAGAAGCAACAAACAAAACCGCTTTTTTAATAAAAAATTCCTTAAGACTTTCAAGAATGCTAAGATTTTTTTACTTCATTTTCAGAAATATTTTGAGAGTGCAAATGATAGAGTGAGTTTTATTTAAAATGGTTAAATGTTAACCTTTTGCTTGATTTTTCATACCTCATGAATGATTCCTGGAACAGTGCATAATGCACAGCCTCGAAGAGAGAAGGGTGAAGAATAAGTGGGTTTGTACATAACTGTTGTTACAAACAGTTTCTGTCTTTCCAGCATGCTGGATTTTTTCCCATTACCTTTCCACCATTGGTAATTACAGAAGATTAAAGTTGCTTTCTTATCAGGTGGCTTGCTTGATTCTCTAATGAAATTAAGAAAACTGGATACTTTTATTTTTTTCGTCAAAGATTGCCTGTTCAAGTACAGTTCTGAAGAGAGAAATACAGAATGATTCAGTGCAAAAAATGGAGTCAGAAAAACATTCACAATGACTGCTATGGATGAGAGTCTCTTTCACCAAAAACTTCCAATGGAGTTCCCTAATTGTATGCTTCTGTCATGTTTAGACCAATGCCATGTACATGAAGTTTCCTATTTTTAATTTCATACTTAGGATTTAAAGTTTACAGATGGAGGTTGTGTGTGTGTTTATGAGCATTCAGAAATAAAAATCTTAAGTACTTTTGAATGGTTTGTTAAAAATACAGGCCTGTTCACTGGGAACTTGTTTCCTTCATATTTGAGACCTGCACCTGAGCTATCTGTCCTAGTTTCTCTTTATAGTCACTGGGGAAAAAAACAAACCCAGGTAACTTGAGACAGGATTCATCTCCTAAAGAAAGCATCTTTAGGATGTGAGGCATCATGTACTTGAAGCGGGTATTCTTCCTCACTAACTGCAAAGGGTAAGTAAGGTGATCAGCTCATATATGAAGAAAATCTCACTGCTGCTCAGTTGAAGTAATCTGGTCTCATATGCCTCCAGCACTCTCATACATTATTTGCACCAAGAATTTTAAAAGACTGGCACTGAAACAAATGGGCAGGTACTTGCCTTGAGAGTCAGAGAGTTATAGCAGTTGGACGAGGGAATGGGATCAGACAAACTGGGAGAGCTTTGGTTTCTGCAGACAGTTAAATTTTACACGACGGATAAACCACCTGAATGTTAAATTTCTGCCTACGGAAACAGAACATTCAGGTTCAGTTTGATTCATTGTTAGCTTGTCTATCATCACAATAAATGGTAACAATTTCTTATTAAATTTACTTTTGGTGCCCTTTGTTTTACAAGCAATCTAAAGAAACTGTAAACTTGCAAAGGTGAGATTATATTTTTTTTTTTCTTAAACTGAAGTGCTATTTCAAGCTGTAGCTGTTTGAATGTTAAACGTGATGGCATAGCCCAATTCTGTGTGGTGAGGTCTTTTAGTTTAAATAGCTTATTTGCTGGTTCCTGCTTGTGTTCTGCATTTCCTCTGAGTGCAGGTACATCTACACATCTATCATGTAGATTCCCAAGTGATTCTTGACTTGACCTTTGGCACTAGATAGTGCTTCCTCCCACAGCTCTTGATGTCTCTACCAAATGTGTGTTTATGAGGGCACGTTTAACTCAGAAAGGCTAAACATTGCTAGAAAATAAAGTGAGACCACACAGTTGAATTTCTGTGATGTAAAAATGCTCGGGGAACCAAACTCATGTCCTTTACAAACCACACGCAGCAGGTACTACTAGTACTGGTGATTTGGACTGAGTGCTGGGCTCCACAATAACATGAAATGGTTGTACACAGCTGTGTGTTCAGTGTGTGTCAGGGATGATACATGTCAAGTGATTCAGGGCTTTTTAAAATATTTTTCTTACAAAAAAGAAAATCCTTACAGATACTGAAATGGGAAGCTTGTGATTGCCGAGTTGAACTTTTTTAATGTAGTGTTTGATCATTTAGATTGCCAGTGGTATGTTCCAATTTATTTTCAGCTGAGCAAGAAGCAAAAAATTTGTAGCACGGCCACGTAATAAATCTGTGCTTTGCTATCTCTTTGAATAGATTTTAATTGTGATAATGGTGTTTATTTTTGTAGTAAGGTTATGATTCAGGCTTCCGCTGTAAGATGGAAGGAAAATGTCATGGGCATAGTAGACGGGTACTGTGAGACACAGGAAGACATTCTTCCCCTTGGAGTAACAGTTCAAAATCTTGATGCTACACAAATGTGCAGATGTTGAATGCATATACCAAAAAAATGCCAACCCGAAAGCAGCACTTGGGGAGAATGACGGAATACTTAATTAATTCAACTTCTGGAACAAGCTATAGGAAGAAGAGCAGGAAATACTGCCTCAAACTCAGAGCAATCTTACACTGCTTTAGAGCTGGAATAGAGTTATTGAGTACCAATTGTGTAAGAAAAGGAACAGCCGGTAACAGATGCAAGCCAATTCCCAACTTACCGACTAGTCAAGGAGGAGGGACTGAAAAAAAAAGGGGCAGTTGCTGTCCCAATACCCAGGCTGCAGAACGGTGCTTTTATGCCCCAGATACGGAAGTACCCAGCTACTCAGCGTCAAACAGAACAAGTATCAGTCCTCCTACCAGCACAGCCAGCTTCTCACAGTGATTTTGCTGTGTAGAGCCTTAACCTGCTTTGCTACAAGGCTGCCTGGTGTCTGTGGGCCAGCTCGAAGGGGTGCTCGGCTGCGGACGGGGAAGCTGCCTGAAAGGGAGGTAGCAGCAAGCCCGCGGGGCGCTCTGAAGGTTTAGGACTTGAGCTCCTACAGGCTCGACCCCTATCTCTGCACACAGCCAAAGCCCCTTCCAGGGGGTGGGCAGCGCCGTTCATGAAATAGTGAGGGTTCCTAAAAGCTCTGTAAAAGCCACGCTTGCTGCCTGCAGCTGTGCCGCTTGACGCCCGTTCCTACCCTCCGAGACACTCCGCTCACCTCACACACAGGGCTCCCCAGGAGAACGACCCCGACTTACCCCCTCCAGCCCGCCCCGGCCCTAGCCGGCGGTGAAGATCCGCCCCCTCCCGCCCCCCGGCCGGCCCCACCCCGCCCCGCCCCGCCGCCTACTCCCCGGAGAGGCGCCCCGGGCCTGGCAGAACGCGGCTGCCGCAGGCGGGAGCGAAGGCGCAGAGGCACCGCAGCGCTGGCGAGTGAGTGCCGAGAGCGGGCGCCGCGGGGGTGCGCGGCAGGGCCCGCGCCGGCGGGGAGCGGCAGAGCGGGAGCGGGTGGCCTGCCCTCCCCGTCACGTGACACAGCTGCTCCGCGCGCCCCTGCCTCTGGTGACGCCACCGAGGCCGAGCCTTCGGCTGCCAATGAGACGGTCGCGGGGCGGGGCTCCGCGGCGGCCGTTGCGCTGGGGTGGGGCTGCCCCGCGGAGGGGAGGGCGGTGGTCGCGCGGGAGGGGAGGGCCGTTACCTGCGGCTGACGGGGTCAGAGCGGCGGAAGCGGCGCGACCCTGCCCTGCTGCCGGCTCTTTGCCGGTGGGCGGTGGCGGGCAGGAGCCGCGTTGCCTTTACGCCGCGGTGTCCGTGTTGCGCCCGGCCTGTGAGGCCCCGGCAGCGTGCCCTCGTGTCGCCGGGTTTGCCGGCAGTAATGCGGCCTGGTTCGGAGAGGGCTGCCCGCGACCCTGGACTTGAAACAGGGCTGCTGAGGGGCCGAGGTGGTAGCACTTCGGGTTCGCCTGGTATGCAGGTGCCTAGCCCGTCCTCCAGTGTTAATTATGGTGCAAATACTCAGTTTAGTAACATACCTTAACCTTGAAGGGATTATTGACGTAGGTTTGAAGAGCAAGAACTTGAGGGAGAATCGGAAGAAAATGGTTCAGTCTCATAGATTAAGAGAAGCTGTGACAGTTGATATCTAGACCCTTACAACATAACACTTAAGAGCATTTGTCTTTCTGCGTGCATTGCTTGGACCAGAGTGGGAAGGGGCAGAGGGTGTTACCTTTTTTATCTTTCTACGGGTTGCCTCCCCTGCCTTTTCTGTATGTTTTTCCATTTTAGAAATACGTAAGTCTTCTGATGGTGAGTCAAGGTGCATTTAGCTGTATCTGTGTTAACTCCAGACAATTAACTTCCTCATTTTTTGCTTCAGGGATTTTTAATTTGCTACTTCTATAATTTTTGCTATGCTTTGAAAATACCAAGGTAGCAGCTTAACATGCAGAAGCACAACTATAAATATCCCCATGACCAAGTTGTTTTATGTAGAACTCTGTGAAGAGTGGACTTGTTTTATGTACTCTGCTTTAAGCAGGCAGTCAACCTGGAAAAGCAATTTCTCGACAATTAACATTGTTCGGTGTGTGACATAGGCCATTAAGAGAGGCTTTAAATTTCACGAGTACAAATGAAAAATGGGATACATCATCTTTCTTGTCCCCTCTCCCTGAGAAAAGCCTTAAAAACCTAGACTGCTTATCGCATAGGTACCCTCAGCTAGCACTCATTTTCTGGCCTTGCTCCATCGTAGTTGTCAATGGCATATAAAAACTAACGTATAGTGTAACCTAAGTGTATTACAGCATTGTACTGCTGCCAGTAAATAAAAGCTAAATAGAACAGATCTCACTGTCTGTCTCAAAACCTGAATTGCCAGGGGTGTTGCGCATTAAAAAAATAAGCCTTTCCATACACAGCAGTTTGAAATCTGCATCCTATTGCTGAAAAATACTGATTACTTGGTATGTGGGTCATACCTTGTTTTACTTGGGTTCTTGCAGTCTGTTTGCTCCTTGCTTCCTAAATTACTGTGGTGGTCTGCATCAGCTCTGCAGGCAAGTTTCTTTGAGTTTGTATATGACCTTATTTTGAGACCACTGGAATTATATGTGTGATCGGAGGTTGGTTGCTTATTGTTTTCTTGTATCAATTTAGGGTAGAAATACTGCTTTGGATGCTTCATTGTCTGCAGTGTCTGCTCTTTATCCTTTAGCTATGTAGATCTTATGCTTTTGAGTGGAGGTTCATTTAGTATTTGTATTAACTCCAGACAATTAACTTCCTCAGTTCATGCTTTCCTTAACTGATTTTTGATGTGGAAAGCAGAGTTCCTCTGGAGAGTACAGAGCACACACAAGGCCTGGTTTTGCATCAGACATCCTGCTGTCTCTCGCACCCAGTGTTAGCTGAGTACAGCCTCTTTACTTGGAAAAGTGTCATCTAGCCTTGGCTTTAGCTCTGCTCTGAGGGGGAGGCCAGGCTAAGTGACCGTCAAAGGTCCCTTCCAGCCAATGTGCCTCTGACTCTGTCTATACATTCTCATGACTCCCAACAGTCACCCAACTACCTGCTTCAAAAGAAGCTTCCTCTCGAAAATTACTTTCGTCAGACTGCTGATGTAACTATGATTTTTGCCTGTTCTACTTTCTGTTGTTCATGTGGTTACATTTGTTCTTGGGGTACTTTTGGGGAGTGAAGTTACATGACTGCCTGATCTATGATTTGAATTTGTGAGTGTAGATACAAGGGTGCAGTCATGAGCAGTTTCTGAAGTGAAGTAAGAGAATAATAAATTCCAGGGGTATGTTGTGGCATTTGCATTCTGCTACTAGCTGAAGTGGTATACTTTTTGATGGAGTAATTATTTTTCTGTGTGATCATAAGCAGCATTAACAGTTACTGCTTGTGGCAAAAAAATACACTTCAAAAACTGCAGGTTTTGTAATCTCGTTTTATGGAGCACTGTACTTCTGCCCCCCCCCCCCCATTCCTAATCAAGTCTTGTTGTATGTTTCTCATCCTCTAAAAGCGTAAGCTCTTTGAACTTGGTCACATTACAACTCTGTTGATTTATATAGGATTGAATGTAAAACTTGCATGATGTTTTGGGCAACATGAACTGCTTAAGCAGATAACACATGCCACGGTAGAATGCATTTCCTGTATGTACTGGTGCTACCTTTCTTCTTCCCATCTTTCAAAATGTTTTGTTTGCAGCATTTTGACAGAGAAGGTAAGTATTGCACAGGTAGTAAGATACAAGGGAAATGTATGGATGCAGTCATGTCATTGAGCTTGCAAATGTAGTACCTTTTGCATTGTCTTTCTAAAAAGCGTGCATAATACCTTTTTTCTTTAAAACCAGAACTGTTCAAGCAGTAGTACATCACTGTTCTTAAATCCAAATCTGTAGCTATGTAGAATTTTCTGCTCTTTTTCACTCCAGAAGTTTAATTACATTTTGTGGACCATGTCAAATACAGCTCTTTTTTCCTCACTTCCAAAAGTAATTAATGCTAAAGGAGGACAGACTATACCAGGATAATATTCTATTGATATACCATTACAGTGGTTTTCAAGAATGCCCTTTACATTAAGATTTTTGGCCATTGTGATTTCTTTAAGTGTGTCAGCTATTTACTCTTAGTATCTTGAGAAAACATACTGAATATCACTCTCAAGTGATTTCTCTGACTTACAAGGTACCTCTTCTCCTTTGGAATTGCCACCTTTCTGCAGTGTGTAATTAATCATGTCCTTTACTAACAGCCAGAGTTAACCATCATATTGCTTTTGTTTTGACAGAAGTTCTTGACAATGTAGAATCACTTTTACTTGTTTTTTTCCAGTGCTGTGTGTTGCCACTGTTAACTGTGAGGAAGATCATTCCATTTGCTCCAGGCTTCAGCTGTGAGAGAGTATCAGTGCTGGGATGATACTGCCACTTTACATATATGTGCTATCAAATAATACCAGAGTAATTATGTCTCTTTATCTCTTTCCCTCCACTCATTTTGTCTAGCCTGATACACAGCTTCTATGTTACTATAATCCAGCTTGCTTCACTGCTTGCTTGCATCATGAAAACCCTTTTCCTTGAGTCAGGTCAGAGTCTCTCTTATTTTTGTTTATGCCTGTTGGAGTCTCCAACTCCCACATGCACCACTGTGAAGGGCCTAGCTGTGTTTTCTGTATAACCTCCTCACAGGTATGGGAAGATTGCAGTTTGGCCACCACAAAGCCATCTCTTCTCAAGTTGAACAGGCCGAGTTCCCTGAACTTCTTGTCACAGAGCAAATGCTCCTTCCTCATTACCTTCCTTGTATCGGGGGTCTCAAAACTGGATGCAGTATTGTAGGTGTGGTGTCATGAGGGTCAGATAAATGGAGATCATCTCTTCCTTCAGTCTGTTGATTATGCTTCTGTTAATACAGTGCAGGGTGTATTCTTTGGTTCTTTCTTTGTTCAGCAAGGTGTATTCATGAGCCTTAAAGTAAGGATGAGTAAGGGAAATCACTGAGATGTCAGAGGAAACATGCCTCCCTTGACTGCTCTGCTGTACTTTTGGCTGAGTGTTGGCTCTCTGACAACAGTTGGGGTTTTAGCTTTCAGTGAGGAAGGAGCCATAAATGTTTGTTTCTCACCACAGGTCTAGAATTCTCAGATACATTTTCCAGAAATCCCAGGAATACTTGGCATTATGTTAATCTCTGGTAACAATATCATGGACCATTCATATGGTGTTGTGGAATGGTAGTATAAAATACTTCTCTTTTTTCCAGAATATTTTTTGCTGCTGATCAGGACTCAAATCTTCTGTAGTTTTTCTCTTGTATCAACCTGTATCTCTGCTGCCGCCTTCTGCAGCAAAGACTAAAAGTTGTCTACATATATAGTGAAATACATTATTTAATACATCTTGCCTTGTGGTAGGCAGACCAATTTGTGTATAGGTCTTTAAATAATTAGGGTTCTGTTGTTACTGCTGACACACAGTACTGATTAGAATTGTGGGTTTATACCACACGACTGCTCCCCTCTTTCATCTACTTCTTCAAGATAACAAACTTGCATTTGAAATACGAGTTTCATTTGTAGCGGGTGGCAAGAGATTGAGCTCACATCTCTTGACATTGACTGGTGAAGCCTGAATAACCAGCCTAGATTCTGAACTTTAGGAAATTAAGAGAGGTGAATACTACCCTCTGGCTCATAAGAAGTTACTAGTAGCATTCTTTCTGAATTCTTTTACATTGAACCCAAGTGTTTGTCGTTTAATTTTATCCAATCTAAGTTCTGGGAAAAAGTTTGTTGTTGCTCTCAGAATGTGTGAATTTCTCTAGAAATTAAAGGTTAAGATTATTTCCCATCAAGAGAGGCACAGTCTACATCTACAGTAATACTGAAAGCTAGAAGGAAAATAGAAA